AAACTACTACTAGTACTCAAATGTCTTGCCATGCGATAGTTTCAACTTCGTCTCTATCGATACCTTCTCATAAAGCTTGTTTTTCTCATGTGTTCAACATATTATCCGAAATTCTCTTCTCTATTGTTATTGATCAAATAGATTAATGCATAGAAATTCGTTTTACCTTTTATTATTCCTCAAAGGTGTACTTATTGTCGTAGTTCGTTTTGTTGTAATAAAATTTATTTATATAACATCAACAAAGAAAGCTAAACTCGTAGTGCCAACAAAGAGGGAAAAAACAACATGCTTTGATTAAAATGTTTTTGCAATTAAGATGTCAACTCAATGTGCGATCTATAGAGAGGATTATAAGAGTGTGGGTGACATTGAATGGAAGACACACACCTACACATCCAACGCATCCACCCCCACGCCCACACCCATCCACCATCCACACCCACACCCCCCTAAGAAGACTGAGGAAACTAAAAGTTGCTTCGTAGATCTCTCATGTTATGCCCGGTTCATTGTATCTGAAAATTCGTTCTTCAATTCTACGAAAGAATTCAGCAGAGAGCAGTCTATTCTTCGCCTTTTGCAGCAGAATTCTTTTGGAAAAGTTGCAAATTGTCTGATCTATTTCTATTACTTTGGCGACGTCCAGCATGAGTAGTTTTGGTTGATCTTTCACCATTACCAACACTTGATTTGAGAAAACATTTGTGTGTCTTCCAATTTCATGTAAAGACATTACATTTATTATGCTTAGAACATTCAGCACAACAATCTGCATAAGTGGTTTGTATTGTTGCTTTACCAAGATCATTTCCACGGTAATCCCAATTCTGTTTCATGGCGAAGTTGGTACACATCTCATGCGGTAAAATGGCAACTTCGCACATAACAAGAATAAAAATGAGTTGTTTCATAGATATGCTTGACTATGATAGACCCCTAAAAACAGTAAAGGAAATTGAAGAATAAAATCAGCTGAAGAGAGAAAGTGTAAAAGACTTGCTCCGGTAGCAAGGCGATCTAAGTTAGAAATGAATTAAAGACGTAATTCAATAATTGTCAATGCTAATTCTATATATATTTTCTCTTTTCTATGCTCTTACAGACTGAAAAGAGCTGATATTATTTGAAGTAGCGGGAACTGGAAGGATATCTCTCGTTTTGATCGATAATTTTACTAACTATCAGTTATTTTAACTAATCATGCTCCTACGAAGAAACTGGAAGTGAATCACTGACTAATGTTGAGTCGTTTTGACTAAATCTGCTCGTCTGACGAAAGTAGAAACTCAACATCTCTGTTAATAAATATGTAGTCATGTTTTAACATAATTAGTCTCACTTTGTAGAGACTAAAATCGAAATAAAGCCATAGTCAGCATCATTAGTGCATATTTTCTTAATATGATGTTGTCTACAGCTGTAAATAGTTATATGAAAAGCAAAGGCATAATCATCATATTTACTTGTGAATGGGTGTAGATGTAAAGTAGATTGACACTCACCCATCCACAGGTAAATATGAGAACTATGTCTTCATTTTCCCCATTTTTTCTTGCAATTGAAGGCTAATGATCGTCGAACAGTGAAGAAAATTGCAGGACTAGTTGAAATTTTAGACAGCATAATACAGGGTGTCAGAAAACCATTACGCCCCCTTCTCCTGCTATAACTTAAAATATAAATGATAACATAAAGTACTTCTGAAACCAAATTAATGCTCATCAAAAACTGGATTTATGAATGGAGTTAGAGCAATTATTGCCCATGAAATTATTGAAATGTCTTGAATTACATGCCAAAATGCACTCATACTTTACAATTTTCATGTTTCATGCGCATATTTTCACAAAAATATTAGCAGATTCTTAATCTCCAACAAAAACTAAATCTGTAGATATGTCATTTGTATATTTTTGACGAAACAAATTTTTTGAACAAAATCCCCGGAGGTACTCCAGGTCAAAAGTTTCAAAACAGTTTTTTGAACTAAAATATTTTAATTTATATATCAGTGACTACAGCTATTGACGAAAATCATGAGTTTGATCAAGGGGGAAAAGGCTGCATTTTTGATTATTTTGATTGCCAATGATTTGCAATGATTGTCATTGATTGTCAGTGATTTGCAATGATTGTCATTGATTGTCAGTGATTTGCAATGGTTTGCAATGATTGTTTATACTCTTTTATATCGAAAAACGAAGGCTGCGTAAATACAGATACAATTTGTATTCCTCGGAACGACGAAGAACTACTAGCACAAAAATGTATCGCCTTGTATCGACATGTATCGGATCCATATATCGGNGTTTCAATCTAACATGACTCCAACTTTGTAGTCTTGTTATATTGAAACCAAATCTCAACCTCCAAATCCAAATCTCACACCCAAATCCTATCCAAATCCCAACCTGCTATACACCAAATCTCAAATCCAAATCTAAGATCCAAATCCAAATCCCCAAACCCAAATCTGTACCAAATCCAAACAATTTCATATCAATTTATAAGACTTGGGATTCTTTTCTCCCTTCTGGGACTTTATTTTACAGATCCTCATCATATTTGGGTAATTTAAGATCAAATCCAAACCCAAATCCAAGTCCAAATCCCAGTCTAGAACAAACCCAAATCTTTTTGTATCAAATCCCAAGGCTTTGGATTTGTTGCATCCCTATCTGTTCATGAAATAAAAATTTTGAAGAATTACCTGTATGGATTATTTAATACGACTTGATTTTACAGATAAAAAAAAAATTTCTATATTTATAAAAAAGAGAAAATTCATGCGTAAAATTGAAAACTTCAAAAAGACGGTGAACAACAACGAATGATTCTAACAAAATATATTCCAGATTACATAAGTCATTTCGATGGTAGTCATGAATATTTTGGTAGACTGTTTACAAGTAGAACATCGTTTTAAGTGTACTGACGGCTTACTAGTGTTCGTTGAATATTCTATCTGAAATATAGACTAACAGTTTAAACACAGTCAATTAATTGAATAAATATTCTCTGAAACATTTAATTCATGAATATTAGAAAGACTCAAGACATATTTATTGCAGTTCAATTTTGTTACAGATTTCTTTCTGACCGAATTTCTACTATTAACCGTTTACTGGAAAACATTCAAAAGAGATTTTCTCTCAATTTGATCTATAACTGTGCAATTTTCATAATTGTCTAATTTGTCAAAAAAAAGGATAAAAACAAGTTTTAAAGGGTTATGAAAATTTTCGAAGAGTTTTTAATAGAATAATTTTTTGATCAATTAGTTTTACGGATTTCACCTGAAAATTTGAATGACTATACAAGTACATAATGAAATTCTTTTTACTTCTAGGCCTCGTGTTGATCTTCGATGATTTCACTGAACATTGGTTCATCTTTGTTTTGCAAAAGAATTAATCGACGAAATTGACTTTGAAAAAGAAGAAAATTCAATGTTATGGAAATCAAATAAGAATTCACTTACTCTCTATTCGATTCATCCAGTCGATTGTATTGTTCATATAACTGAGTCACTGTATGAACCATGGTTTGGTTTCTATGACCAAACAATGGATGCTGATTAAGTCGATTCAATATTTGATCATCGTTCAATATTGTCAATGGATTCATCATAGAAGAGATAAGGTCTAAATCGATGACATTGTTTAGACATATGAAAATTGATTGTAAGAAATAATATTACCTGATCCAATCAGTTCAACGAATTGTTTAATAACACTATACAGATGTTTATGAATTGTGAATAGAACATGTGGGGGTAAATCATTTTTATTTGATACAATTTCATTAGCCTAAATGAACAAAATCGAAAAAGGATTTTTGTCTGAAAATTTATCAAATCTAATGAAACTCTTTATCTGATTCGATCACATTCGAATTTACCGATTTGATAAAGTAATAAAAAGCTCGTTGAAAATCGATTTGTAAATTATGAGTTATAATAGATTGACCATGAGTTGTTTCATCTGAACAAAACACTACAAATCATCGAAATAAATTGAATACTTCTAGTCTTGTCTCACTTTGTGTCTCTTCTAACAAATTTCTTGTTAATCCTTTCAAATATTCACTAATAGCTGATAGTAATACACGAAAACTTTCCTTAAATCAAAACGATAATTATAAGCTATTTTCAAGTATGACATTCATACAATTGTTATCTGCTCAATTTGACATTGTTCCTCCATCAAATTCATCCAATCATCGAATATCTACGTGAAAAGACAAGTAATTGTAATAAAACAATGTGTTTTGTTTTTTCGATATTTTACATGATCGTTGCTTGTAGATCTTTCTGAAAGATTATTCAATCCAGATCGTTTATGATTATCAGCCGATAATTGGAATTCAGGATTATGCACAACCCTATAAGAACTCATAGGAAATTTTTACTTGCATGTTTACACATGCTTTATACTCGAATATATGTTCTCTTTGACTAATTCTTCGTTTTGATGATAGCAACGAACTATGTACATCCATTGTTCGACTAAAAGAATCAATAAAACAAACGAAAATACTCCTAAAAATATGTATTAGAAGGTACCTTTTACTTATTTCGTCGATAACATGATTTTCGGCATCGAAAACAACATCTATTCAATATCAGAGTTTTCTTATTTAAAATATTAATCATATAACATTACCATTTTCACTCGATAATCTTCTTTTCATTCTAAATACAATAGAAAAATGTCAAACATAATTTCATCTATTGATATTGCGTTATATTCTTTTTAAAATGATTAAATACATTGGATTTCATCATAGTAAAAATTTGAAACTGATTTTCTTTTTCTTGTGTTTTATAATGTGAAATTGTATACCGTTATCTCATTGATTGAAAAAAAGATTTACCTGATGAAGGAATGATTTAAGAGATCTTTAGCCGATGAATGTTCTCGAGTCGATGAAAAACATCTTGAAAGAGAAAGTATTGTCGCATTGATGACAACATCAATTTACACTCGTATTGAAACTTACTTGTTCAAAAAGCTTTTGATATTTTCAGACAATGTTTCAGGAATATGAGGTGGTTGTTTTTCGATACCAATTTTGTACAATATGGCAAATGGATTAGTAACTAAAATAATTAAAATATTTGCAATGTATATGAGAATAATTCAAAGTTTCATGTCTTACTCTCATGATATGGTTTCTCTCCAGTAACCATCTCAAGTACTGTACATCCAATGCTCCAAATATCTACCTAATGATAGAAGATTTTGATCGAATTTTGCAAATAACAAACAGAAACTTACTTCTGGTCCGTAACCCGTAGGAGAAATATTCACCATATCAGGACTTATATATTGAGGTGTACCTATAGGCATAGAAGAAGGCTTCTTTGAAGTTCAACCGTAAAACAACCGATCAGAAGGATAAAAAAAACCAGTTAAGGGAGGAATGAAAGTGTAGTGATAGGTCAGAATATACAATATTTTCTACAAAAAGCAGTAATTCACACCATATTTAATATTACCCTTAAGTTTAATAATCTTTTTTCCTGTTAATTTCTCTCAGACGCTAGGCTAGTCCCAAAATTTGAAAAACTGTTTGACTTTCTCACACAATCTACATATACATATGTAATGTTCTATATGTGTATGTATCGGTCTCTCTAGAGTAAAAGTCAAGACTTAATAGCTGAATGCAAGAAACTCATATGATGTCTGAAGCTCAATGTACACATCTCTTAAGAAATAACAATCGAACGAAATATTCATTCGCTTTCTGAATACTAAAGAGCAAGAAAACTGGGGATAGAGACACAGATCTATAACAGAGAAAACGAATTACATCAAGATGCATCATAGTTAATAGATGGTCTTAAGAAAGTAATCGTGCAATTAACATGGAAATTTCTGTGATTTTTTGAAAGTTTGTTTGATTATTAAGAATATTTTATATTATCACATTTATTGTGAATATTTCATGAGCACTTCATCTCTAAACTTAGGTCCTTCTTTCTTCGGAAAACAACTGAGTGCATGCTTGATGATTACTGACCGATGGTATTTGAACCACGACGTAAACCAACAAGATGTATCGATGTACCAAAATCAGTAATTTTAACCTCTCTTCAAATATTAAAGTCACAAAGAAAATATCAGATAGATGATATGAATTTCTTTATACAATACCCATTTGAATTAACAAGAATATTATCCGGTTTGATATCTCGATGGATAATATGATTTTCATGTAAATATTGTATTCCTTCAAGAATTTGTTTCGTATAGTTTTTGATCCATAACTCATTGAATTGAACAAATTTCTTGCGAATTAATTGTGAAAGACTTCCGCTAAAACAGAAGAAAAAGAAGAACATTAAATTTCGAGCTTGTTTTATCGAGTCTCTATAATTGACCCTTCAACATATTCCATGATGATCTGAAATACCGCCGGTTTTCTATCACGAATATAAGCGGTTCCTTCATATTTCACAACTGAAAATATAAAAGAAACAAACAAAAACATAATTAAACGATCAACTTGTTATTAATCATACTATTCTTATGATTGAGTGTCGATATATTCTTGATTTCAGTCTGTATTGCATTGATATCGTCTGCTTTACCTATTCGTACTTCTTTAATAGCAAATTTCTTCATCGTATATAAATCTTTTGCTAGATAGACTATGCCGTAAGCTCCACGACCTAGTTCAATACGTTCGTGCTCATTACATTCGAATTCAAACTAGAAACATAAATAATAAATTTCCATTAAATATAAATATTTTTTGTCTTTCTTTTTAATGTTCCTTTTTGCTTTTGAAAATCATCAGTAGTTTACTTACATCGAACTTTTGCTCGATTTCCATATGACTTGTTTCACGTCGATATTTAGACATTTTTCTCTTGAATCTATACAAAATCAAAGTAGATTGTCGAAGAAAATATCGGAATTATAATCAAACTTACGCTATGCAACGTTCGACGGAAGAAAAGAATATTTGAAGTTGAAACGATTTAAATACTTTGTTATTCTCATAAGCATAGATATGCAACGATCGATTATCATTTCTAACATCTCTGTACACAAAAGTTACGTTCTTAACAATATGACGAATAAAATCATGTTCAACTTGCTTACACAATGGATTTGATTAAATTCATTTCGATAGTTTTCACACGATCATAATCATGAATATGTTTATGTTGTTCTAACAGACGAATAACCAATGTTTGTGGGTCTGTACCAGTATGAAAATTCAGTTGTAAACGACCTTCAACATACATATTCATAAAACCGGTTGCATCAACTCGTTCATAATTATCACGAATGAGAATCTGAAAAAGAATAAATTTCATCCAATTATTGATATGAAATATCTAACTAATAATCAAGCATTTACAGGCAATTGTGCAGGTAGTTCTTTATTTTCCAACGATTTTAAATCGGAATTGATAGCATCGTTGAAGAAATCGATCCAAAAATTATAAATATCATCTTCACTAGTCGTTTTATTCGACAGTTTTTTGCAAGATTTTTGTTTATTTAGTGTTAGTCTTGCATCATGAACTATTTTCAAATTGTTGAGTGTTGTCGTAAAACGCCAACTCGATGGATTAAGTAAATACATTTGTAAAGCAGCCTGACATGCTTTTTTCCATTCTTGTTGTACTGCATGTAGCTCGAAATAGGTAGCTACATCCCAATAGTCAGTTGAACCTTCGAGCCAACGAATCTTTTTTCCAAGTAGTATATTAAGTTGAATAACTAAGCAGAACATCCAAAACGTCTGATTATAAATTATCGATGAAAATTAGATTTTGAAAGTTGTTCAGGGCTATTTCGTTTTATAATATATTGCCTAGAATTATCAACGTAGTCTGTATCTGAACAGACTTAGCCTATATATAAGGTGTTCCATAAAGAACACTCCGGTAAGAAATTTAAATATCTTCATCAGATTTCGATCAAACGAGCTGAAATTTTTACCAGTAATAGAAGAATGCCTAAATTTTTTTTCTCATAAGAGAAACATCAGTAAATACTGTTCCTAGCTAGTAAGATCAACATTAGTAAGGATTTTTCGCTTGTCACAGGATGATTTCGGGTGTTTTTATAAACCGGTTTTTATAATGGTCAATGGATATCAATCCGAACATTTGAATAAAGTTGTTCTATAATTTTAGTTTTATTCACTCTTATTCATATAATAAACTTTATTTTGATGTCTTTATGTCACTACCTGGAAAAACGACTTAGAAATGCGTCTGAGTCATTCTGCAACAGTTTTGAAGCCTAGAACAAGTGAAAAATCTCTATTGGTTTTGATATTACTAGCTAGGAATAGTATTTACTGATGTTTCTCTTATGAAAAAAAATTTAGGTGGTCTTCTATTACTGATAAAAATTTCAGCTCGTATGATCAAGATCTGGTGGAGATATTTAAATCTCTTAGCGGGGTGTTATTTATGGAACACCTTATACATAATCTGAATCTTATGTTTTGACAATTAGTCTCCTCATGTATCTCAACATGTGAAACAAAGTTATGGGCGTTGGAATGGAGCGTCATTTCAATAGTACACAACTGTTTTTATCAAACGAAAAACCAATCTACTTACTGATATTGTATGTTTCAGGATCATTTTTTAAGTCATCGATAGTGATATATAAGAGAATAAGTAAATTGATGCCAGCACTAGATCAACAAACAAACTACACTATTTGTTTGTTTTTTTGATAAAAGAACTAGATTGCCTACTAAAGGTTTGGATTGCCTTCAAAACCGCGTCGATACCATATGATTGCGTTGTGCAAAAATTCTTGATTGAGATAATTTCCTTGTTTAAATTTATCTTTGTAAATGCGACCATACAAGCAACTGATGTCAGTCATCAATTCACTATCCATCTGATTCGTTGTACACAATTTTTCGAGAATATTCAATGCTTTATCAAGATCATCGTTTTGATTTCGTCTAGAGAAAAACAATCATTTTGTTTTTTTGGTTCGACACAATATTTATTATCGAAGGATTTACCGTTCAAGTGCAAATGCGATTAAATAAGTGAATTCTGTGTTATTTATTTCTTTGAACTGTTCACTGAGCTCAATCATTGATTCATAGTCCTGAAAAATAAAACGAATATGTAAATGAAATGAATGAACAAAATAAATTTGATTTACTTCAATATCTCGAAAAGCGATCATCAGATGAAGGATCAATTTCGATGTCACATAAGTTTTATTGCTTTCATTAATTATCTCATTGTATATTTCATTTCGTAAAAACTATAAATATGCACGTATGAGAGAGTTTCATAAGAACAAGAAAAGTTCAACATGCATTAGAATACGATAATTTATCTTTCTTTGCCAGTCTACATGCATCTATTCGAGCTATATATCGATCAGATAGTCCTTGCCTATAAAATGTGAATGATTTCAACTAAAATCTTGAACAAACATAAACATACAAAATGTTAGCAGCAGCTTTTGGAAGATACGCTTCGAGAGTTGCTGTAAGCAATTGTGGTGAACTATTGGATGATGTTGTCATATCATAGAAAATACCTTTCTCGCCATCATATTGATAGACAATCAATTTTTCAATGCTACATATCGCCTAGAAGGATCAAAGATGAATATACTAATGTCAAATAATTCTTTTTTCAAACATACTCGAAAATCTTCAATGGCTTTTTCATTGTCGACAGCATTTGTTTCAATCAATACAATATCGTAGAAGTTATCTCGATTACTTTTATAATACATAAATGTTGGACGATGTTCTTGATTTGTAACATCCTTTAAAACAATACACAGATTATTGTTTATTCTTCTTGGATTAATAAGAGATAATCGTGTTTGATAAAAAAGCATAGTTTGCCTTTCTCTATCTTCGATCTGAGACACTTAGAATCGCAGAGATTATTATACAATGAATGAATGGATCGAAAGTTTGAAACAAAATGTGTCTTCATTGTTCGACTGATTAAGAGGATCAGCAAAAATTCAAAAAATATTGAGTTAGAATGAAATATTCACAAGCTTTCCAAGTCTGGATTTCAGCGTGAAAGAAAAGAATTATTTGAAATGTACCAAAAGAAAGAGAAAAGAGTTTTCTATAAGCTGTCTATTGACCATGGTAGTTTGCATAAAGGACAGATCTTACCTTACTTCGCAGAGAATCCTCTCGTCTTTTACATTGCGCAAAAATTCAATGATGAAAAATGTTCAATAAAGAGTACTGTTGATAGAAATGACACATATTACTTAAATGGTAATCCAAAAAGCTTCAAACGGTGATGTGGCTGAGGAAAATAAAATCCTCGTTGTTTCTGCGACGAAGATAAGGAAGTGTCGATAAAAGTTGCTGAAAAAAACTATGAAATCAATTTCAAAACGGATATGGTCGCATTTTCCATTTCTTTGTTTTCAAGTCTTTGAATGATCTGCTTATGACTTCTAACCTACCTATAAGTTCGACGAAAATTTCCAATCGAGATTTCCAAACACGATTAAAACTCTGATTCTAACTCAATGTCTTACATGTTTTTTAGCCTTGTTAAATCGATCGAAGAGTGAACGAACATTTTGTTTCAAAACTTTCGCCCGGCTCATTAGATAAGATAAAATTGATGATTTGTTATTGTCATTAGGCAAGTGTTTTCAACAACGATTCTATTCTCTTATCGAAGTCGTATGAAGCTTATATTCCAAAAAATGATTTTTCTTTTTTATTGTAAGAATAAAAAATGATCGGCATGCTTTGGAAGATATTTCTTTTACAGAATGAAATTTGCGTATGCTACCAAAATTTTCGTTTTCTTTGGTCGGTTCGAAGATTTTTTCATACTCTCATGATATCATCGAGATTTCGACAAAGAAAAAATTGATTTTCAATCGAAACAAAGATTTTTCCTTCAATTGAAAATCTTCTTATTTTAATCAAAAACATTTGACATACTAAAAGCACAGATTCGATCTCTTGCTGTTAATTCTAGATAATGATACCATTTAAGTAATATGTGTCATTTCTATCAACAGTACTCTTTATTGAACATTTTTCATCATTGAATTTTTG